CATATTCACAGAATTGTCTGACCATCGTAATGTAATTTTAGAACATTTTGAACACTCCATGAAGACCATCTAGCACTATTAAAGACTCAGCTCTGTGACTTTTATCATTACTTGAAGAGCCAGGGTTTACATTTTCTGAAATCTATTTTGACAACCAGAATACTCTTAGCTCACATGGACACATAGTGAGTAATCAATAAATATCTTGATTGATTGCAGCTCTCCCAGATATTTTTGGCTGTTCTGGAGTTTGAACTCAGGGTCTTGCATTTGCTTGGCAGGTGCTCGCCCACTTGAGTCATGCCCCCAACTCTTTTTGCTTTGGTTATTTTTGACATAAGTTCTCTCATTTTGGTCTGAGCCAGCCTGAACTGTGGTCATAGCTGGGATGGCAGGTCCCCACCATCATGTCCAGCTACTGGATAAGATGGAGTCCCTCACTAACTTTTTCCCCAGCTTGACCTCGAACTGTAATCCTCCCAAACTCTACCTCCAAGGTGGCTGGGATTTCAGATGTGGCCCACTGTGCTCGGCAATCTGTCAGATTTTAAACTCTGGAAGGAGAGAGTGAATTTTCTCAAGGTTTTAAAAACCAGAAAAATTAATTTCAACATTATTTTGTGCTTTAATTCCCAAGTTCTGAAATTATGTTCTAGAGTTTAATTTGAATCAAACTATTTATTGATTTCTTTTCTATATTGAGGCTTGCATTAATGAATATTCCAAAGACAGAGTTTTACTGACATAGTATATTTGCAAATCTATAAATGTAAACTGTTACTTCTTTTTGATAGGTAGTATGTACAATGAAACAAAACTTGAACAGCATAAAAGGGGGCTGGTAGAGTGGCTCAAGTGGTGGAGTGCCTGCTTAGTATGTGCAAGGCCCTGGGTTCAAACTCCAGTACCACCAAAAAAATAAATAATAAATAAATAAATAAGTAGGAATAGCCTGGAAAGCACCCTTCATCCTGCTACCTCCCTCAAGTGACAAGTTGCCCCAAGGTAGTTCGCTCTCTCTCTCTCTCACAGACATTTAATGTTTTTCCTCAAAAATACATGACACATCTTGTGTGCTATTTTGCAAGTTGCTTTTCTTACTTACTGATATGAACTGAAAATTGTTTGGTATCAGTATACATCACAGTTACCTCTGTTGAAATTGTCTTAAGGGCTGGTGGCTTTTTATGACTTTCACTATGACCACATTTTCCCAGCCATCACATCTTGCAGGAGCTGTCCAGTCTCCATTCCCATCTCCCTGACACCTCTATAAACTTTATTCACTGCATGATGCTTTAGAGATGTGGGTCAGCCCTTCTCGCTTTCAGAGAAGAGCCAAGAACTTTCCAATGGTCTACAGGGTCCAGCCCACCTTTGCCTACAAGGCAAGTACCACGGATGATTTGCTCCTCGACCATCTTCCAGGTGGAAGCCTCTGCTCCAACCTCGTCCCCCACCTCGCTCTGTTCTTGTACTTTCACAAATGCTTCAGCCCAGGGTCTGACTGCTCGCTATTCCCTCTGAGGCTCTTCCTCCAGACACTGCAGGACTTCATCCTCGACTTTCTTTACTCCCTGTCACTGAGCCTTCCTTCCCCTCCTTCTCCCTCCCTGCACACACTCCTTAGCTGTTATTAGCATCGTTCGGCCATGTCATTCACTTGCTGACTACCTATCACAAGTTCCACGAGACTAGTGCAGACCTAATGCAAAATCAGCAATATCATGTAAAGCAGGTCACACTAAGGAGAGGTCACATTTGAGAGGGGGAGGGTAAAAGATGGAGTGAAGAAGGTGAGATGGTTGAATGAATATAGAATTTTTAAACCTGTTGAAACCACCATAAGAAAGGTACTAAGATAGAAAGAAGAAAAATAGAGAAGATGAGCCAATTCAAGTTAGAATTCATATATACATGGAAATGTCACAAGGAAACTCCCTGCGTAGCTATTTTAAACAATGAAAAATATCATTTTTTAAAAACACAATTGGAGAACAGGAGAGTGGAACAGGTCCTGCCTAGAGGGGTTGGTACCAGTGGGAGAGGGGAGGATGTGGGGAGAGTGTGCAAGCACTGCGTACACAGGTATGTAAATGGAAAAATGAGATCTGTTGAAACTCATCCGGGGGGAGGGTAGATAAAGGAGAATAGTGGAGGGGTGAATTCAACTATGATATATTTGATACTTTGAGAGAACTTTATAAGTGCCGCAATGTACCCCACCCAGCACAACAATAAAAATGTTCAGGAGACCAAGGACATTTGTCTGTTTTATCCACTATTGCATCCTTAGCCTTTAGACCAGTCTGGCGCGAAGCCTGCAGCTAACAGCATTACCTGAATGAGCGAGTTTACGCTTAGCCCTTGTGTATTTGTGTCCTGGCAGTGTGACAGAGAGCGTCTAGTGTAGTCCAATCATTGCCATGTTTTAAGGGATCCATCTCTTTTGGTCTCTTGTGTTCTTGGTGATGTAGCTGAACCTCTCTGAGTCCTGACCTCCCTTCAATAAATAATAGTGATATATTTTATAGGGCTGGCTAAAGATTAAGAAATGTAAGTGTAGTTAGCACCATCTCTGCATTAAAGTAAATCCTTAATATACATGATTAAAAATCATTTACAGCGCTGAGGATAGAACCTGTGGCTTTATACATGCTAGTCAAATTTCTCATTTTTAACAGTTCATCTGAAATGGACTTCTAAGAATATATGGTTGCATATTTTATTTGTAATATATAACAATATAATGATTTTATACATATTGTATGTATTATATACAGAAATAAGAGAAGGAGGAAAGGAGGGGCTGAGAAAGAGAAGGGAATGAAAAAAACCCAACTTCTTTTTTTTTTTTATTTTTTTTTATTTTTTTTTTTTCATTTTTCTTTTATTATTCATATGTGCATACAAGGCTTGGTTCATTTCTCCCCCCTGCCCCCACCCCCTCCCTTACCACCCACTCCGCCCCCTCCCGCTCCCCCCCTCAATACCCAGCAGAAACTATTTTGCCCTTATCTCTAATTTTGTTGTAGAGAGAGTATAAGCAATAATAGGAAGGAACAAGGGGTTTTGCTGGTTGAGATAAGGATAGCTATACAGGGCATTGACTCACATTGATTTCCTGTGTGTGGGTGTTTTTAAACTTAATATTTTTAAACTTAGTATTTTTAAACTTAATAGTGTTGATTTTTAGCAATTTCTCTCTTATAATACAACATAAGCCATTTTGCTCTTTTTTTTTTGAGCAGTAACTCAACATCTTAAGAAACAATATTTTAGCTCCTCTGAGGTGAAGAACTTTAGTTTTGCATTTCCCTTTTCTAGCTGGTCCCAAACAAAGCACTTGCCCATTAAATTTTGTTGAACAAATGAGAATAAATCGCAACGGACACAATTTTAATATGGTCCACATTAACTGCAAAGCAGCAAGGTGAAGTTTATTGCAGGACCTCTACAGAGTAATCACTGAGTTTGGTGGATGTACGTTTATTTCAGAAGTACTTTTCTCACTGAGGGAGGGGGAATTTAGATTCATCACTTCACACAAAGTTTAAAAAAACAACCAACTAAAACTCCAGAAAGATGTCTTTGCCACAATTTCTCTGAAGAGCTTTTCAAAGAAATAAAAGGTCAACAGTTTACCCAGTACACATCAAGGGTGAAGCAGTAGGCACACAGGTGCGGGAAATCCAATGGTGATTCAAAACCATTACGAATTCCTGCGGTTCCTAGTAAGTCCCCACGCACACTGTGGACCACACAACTCCATATTTGTGCAAAATGAGAGTAGGAGGCAGAGGAACAGCTCCGCCCTGAGATACAAGGCCTGGCTTGGAACCCTGCTCTGTACTCTGACCCTGAGCAAGACCATAAACGTAGGCTTCTGAAAAAATAAGCCTTTTTCAGATAGGAAAATCCAAAGACTTTGTATCCTGGAAACCACTGTGCCAATAAGACCTCTGGTTCTGCCAGGGAGAAGAAGCCCCATTGGACACTTCATTCAAGAAGTGCTGTGTGCCATGATAAAAGCGAGAGCACACAAGGGAGGGGTGAGGATAGGTAAGACACCTAAAAAATTAGCTAACATTTGGTGCCCTCAATGCAGAGAAACTAAAGCAGATACCTTAAAAGCAACTGAGGCCAATAGGAGAAGGGGACCAGGAACTAGAGAAAAGGTTAGATCAAAAAGAATTAACCTAGAAGGTAACACACACGCACATGAAATCAATGCGAGTCAACTCCCTGTATAGCTATCCTTATCTCAACCAGCAAAAACCCTTGTTCCTTCCTATTATTGCTTATACTCTCTCTTCCACAAAATTAGAGATAAGGGAAAAATAGTTTCTGCCGGTATCAAGGGGGTGGGGGGGAGAGGGAGGGGCGGAGTGGGTGGTAAGGGAGGGGGTGGGGGCAGGGGGGAGAAATGACCCAAGCCTTGTATGCACACATGAATAATAAAACAATACAAAAAAAAAAAAAGAAGTACTGTGTGCCTAACCAGTACTGTGCTACCCACACACTGAGGATCTGGTAAACAGGGATCCAGACAGGGTCCCCACCCTAGCCACACACACAATCCACTTCCAGGATGTCATCCCCAGGAAGTAATCAGCCAAGGCAAAACTATGTTTGCAGGAAGTTGATCCTTGGAAGAGTATGTGTTAACCACGGTACAACTGGATGACCCAATTCAGGTGTTCGAAAAGGCAGAAATCTTTCATCAAGCAAGCATCCTAACATTTTGATGAATAAGGATTAGTGTACCCACATCTGTCCCCTGTAGGGCCAGTACTGTGTCTGGGAGGTTGTTGATCTGGCCTTGAGCGGATGGCTGCTTGGAGGCCAGGACAAAGGGGTGTGTGATGGTGACAGGTCACAAAGGACAGCAGGGGATAAATATGGTGATGTGAGCAGATGTAAGCAGAAGCCTTGCAGGGAGATGGGCAGTAGCCTTCACTCCCTCCCTCTCATGGGGACTCGATTAGTGGCTGGCACAGATGTCTGGAATAGAGAGACCCATGAGCAGTGAGAGCGTGTTACCGTATTACACAGCCCACAGCTACCGCTCCACGGGTGTGTTCAATACTTCCATGGGGGACCTGCAGCGACAACTGTACAAGGGAGGAGAGTATGACATTTTCAAGTATGCACCCATGTTTGAGAGCGACTTCATCCAGATTAGCAAAAAAGGAGCGGTGATTGATGTTCACAACCGTGTCCGGATGGTGACTGTGTGCATCGCATCCACCAGCCCCATCCTCCCGTTACCTGACGTCATGCTGCTGGCCCGACCAGCCAAAATCTGTGAAGAGCATGCCAGACGTGGCCGGCTCATCAAGGGAAGAGGTTGTAGGGCCGGAAAGGCTCTGGAGCTCACGAGGCTGCTTCCCTTGAAATTTGTCAAGATCTCCATCCATGACCGTGAGAAACAACAGCTGCGTCTGAAGCTTGCCACCGGTCGAACGTTTTATCTGCAGCTGTGTCCCTCGTCAGATGCCCGGGAAGACCTTTTCTCCTACTGGGAAAAGCTTGTCTATCTCCTGAGGCCCCCATCAGAGAACAGCAGCAGTGTCCCAACACTCCAGACGGGGGGTGCAACCACCCCCAAGGACAAGAGCTCAGTGGTAAGGCTCCAGACACTAAGGAAGCAGGAGGGTCCGCAAAGATGGTCCTACTCAGGCTTTGGGGCCCCTTGGGAAATGCACTTGACTTGAAATGGCTTAGGGCCATCTCAAAGAGCCCCCACTCTGGGAGGTTAAAGTGTTTCTCTAAATTCCCATTGAATGTAGTGGTGACCCCTGCAATCCCAGGAGTCACAGGAGGGTGCAGCAGGACGGGCACGAGTTCTAGGCCAGCCTGAGCTACATAGCAAGTTCCAGGCCAGCCTTGGGCTACATAGCAAAACCCTGTTTCAAAACAAAAACCCAAAGTACCACAGGTAGAATGTCAGAGACGTAAGGTATCAACCACTCCAGTCTCATACTCAGGACTGTAACCCTTTGACAATGTCCTGATTGACAAATCTCTCCTTTACTCCAGAACCCAGCTAGCCTCATTTGTTATGGAACATAAACAGAAAAATACACAAACACACACACACACAGTTTTTGAGGGATGGTCTCACTATATAGCCTAGGTTGTCCTTAAACTGACAATGCCCTCCTCAGCCTCTGGAGGTATGTGCCCAAATGCCTATGGTATCGGGATTTGAACTCAGGGTCTACACCTGGAGCCACTCTGCCAGCCCTTTTTCATGATGGCTTTTCTTTTTCTTTTCTTTTTTTTTTTTTGAGATAGGGTTTCATGGAACTATTTGCCTGGGCTGACTTTAAACCATGATCCTTCTGATTTCTGCCTCCTGAGTAGCTAAGATTACAGGCATGAGCCACTTGTGCTGCCTAAAATCCATTTTAAAATTTTTAATTGGTGCATATTAATTGTACATAAGTTTGTGGTACAGCGTGACATTTCAAATGCTTGTCTATGATATGTAGTGATCAGCTCAGGGTAATTAGCATATCCATCACCTCAGACATTTATCATTAGGAATAGTCAACATTCTCTCGACTAGTTACTCTGAAATATGCAGTGAATTGTTGTCGCCTATCATACCCTAGTGTGCTGCGGAACACTGGAAATTATTCCTCCTGTTCACCTGCATCCCTGTGCCCCTTAACCATCCCTTTTAGGTCTCTTGTCCCATGCCTTCCCCAGGTTCTGATACTATTCTCTGCTCCATGAGTCCACTTTTTACTTTTTAGCAGAGAACATCTTTAACACTTAGGAAGTCCTCCTTTTCCTTGAACCAGGATCTGTCTCCCGTGGATTTTGTGTAAATCAGCACAACCCCCCAGGTGTGTGTCCACATATACTATCTGTTTCACTTGTCACCAAAATATGAAATGTCTCCCTTGACCCCACGGTTTTGCTTTTAGAAATCTGCCCTGAAAAGATAGAAGCACAACTGTGTCAAAGAAATTGTCCAAAGGTGGAAAATTTTACCCATGCTGTCTTTGACACTAGAATTGTTCAAGTAAAACTGAGAGACTATTTGATGGAGTGGGTGCAGGTGGGTTCTTCTGATGCTGAGGCCTTGAGTTGCTCCGAGAGGAGCAGAGGGTTCTGGCCTCCTTTTCTGTTGTCTGTGTCTCACCTGTTTCTCCTCCCCTGGCACAGGCCTCAGACATCCTTGGAGAAGGTGATCAAGATTCTGGGACTCAAAAGCTTCCTGAGGTGTCTAGAGCCACCTCTTCTGCCTATGCTGGGGGCGAGGGAATCCTGAGTTCTGCCACAACCTCTATTGCCATCAACTCTCCAGGATCTGCTGACGGAGGAGCACCAGGGACAGCAGGAAGCTTGACCGTTGCAGGGGCAACATCGGACTCTGCAGCAACTTTTGCGATAGCAGGGTCATCTGCAAACTCTGGCTCAGGTGCTCTAGGCATAGCAGCAACCAAGTCCCAGGAGTCAGGCCAGGTGAGCATAGCCCTGGCAGGAGCAGTCACCAAGGACCCAGGAGGCAGTAGCTCCAGCAAGATCGTAGCTGCTGCCGGCAACGTATCCTCAGAGGGAATTAAGCTGGCGCTTGTGGGCACCTCATCAGTGGGCACGTCCATCGGAGAGGGCACCAGCATGTCTGCAGACAGCAGCGTGAGCATGGTGTTGGCAGGCACTATGACAAGCAAAGGACCTACTGCAGAAAAGGCTGAAGAAGCAGTGCTGGCACCCCTGGTGTCAACCTTGCAGAGCGAAGGCTACATGTGCGAGCGAGATGGAAGCCAGAAGGTGTCCCAGAGTGCTGAAAGCAAGAAGGCAAAAAGGGAAAGAAGAGAAAAAAAGAATAAACATTCTAGCAGGAAAAGTTCCCGTCACCACAGGACAGGTGAAAGCCACCGCAGGACAGGTGAAAGCCACCACAGGACAAGCAAGGACAAGAACAGGAAATCATCCTCCCACCGGTCCACATCGGGCCATGGAAGCACAAGAGAGGACAAGAAAGAGAAAGGGCATGGCAGCTCAAGGAGCAGGAGGCATGGTTCCTCCCACAAAAGCTCAAGCCGCAGCTCCACCACCAAGGAGTCCAGAAAGGCTCAGAGAGCCAGGAAGAGCCGATCTGCAGGTGGCTCAGGCACTGTCAGCAAGAAATCCAGCAAAATCAGCTCTTTTCTGAAGAGCCTCATAGCCATGCCTAGTTCAAAAACAGTGACCTCACACAACCACGAGATAGACATCATGTCGAAGAAGGTGGAGAAACACAACATAGAGACGAAGGTGGAGAAAGTCCAGGACTGCCAAGAGCTGGAGATCAGTGGCACCCTGACATCTGAGCTGACAGAGAGGATTATCTTCGAAGCCAAACCATTTAAATAAGAGTCAAAGCAGGAAGCTACAAGGGAGACCCAGGACTCAGGGAGGTTAGCCCTGGTGAACCATTCCAGCTTTGTTGGCTGCAGTTTAAAGAGTAAAGGTCACACAACTCTAAAAGAATGCTGTCTGTTTGAATTTCTCAGTCCTACAGCCAGGTGGTGACTTCACAGTGGCTTCTGTGAAGGTAACTATATTCCAGGCAGGTAGAGCCTCTACCGATAGGCTCAGCTGAACTGATGTTGAGGCAAGAGCTTCTGCCCCTTTCTGTCTTTGGTTTCCAAGACTATGGTGGTCAAGGACTTGGGGATATGTAGGTGACAACTACTATGTTCCCAAGCCCCTTCTGGACCTTCAGTCCAGTCCTCAGACTAAGCAAAGAGTCCTCAAATCCTCAAATCCAGGGAAAGACGGAGAGGGTGCAGGAGCTTTTGTATGCACTTGGAATGGGGAAGTCTGTCATCTACATCAGGTTCTGAGGGCTGAGGTGTAGCTCAGGGTAGAGCTTGCCTAGCATGTGCAAAGCCTTGGCTTTGATCCTCAGCAATTTGAGAAAACAAAAAACCAAACCCCCAAACCAATCAACCAACCAAATAAAAGCTTCTTCAGATCAGGAATTGGCAGACCATGTTCAGAGGTCCAAATCTTGCCAACTGCCTGGATTGTAAATAAAGTTTTATTGGCACATAGCCATGGACATTCATTTACATATCATCTATGGCTGTGTTCACACTAAAACAGCAGATTTGGGTTGTTGGATAAGTGACCACATGGCCACAGAATCTAAAGCATTTACTATCTGGTCCTTCACAGAAAAGGTTTGCTGATCTCTGATCTAAGGTTAGAAATTCTTGTTCCTCCTAAGTTATATATCTTGGAGAAACTCTCGCAAATGCTTACCAGGAGCTGTTCATAGTAAAACAATTTGTAAGAGGAAAACTCTGGAAATGGCCCAAGTGTTCATCAAACAGTAAAACTGATAAATTTGGCATATGCCGGCAGGGACTATTATTAAACAAAGAAAAGGAACAGCAATTTTTCACATTCGCCTGCGTACATCTTATGTGATGTGGAGTACTAAAAGTCAGAAAGGTGTATGTCGTAGAGTTCCATTTGTAGAAGAGTGCAATGTCAAGACCCAGCAATGTTTGAGGGTATACATTTGCTGAAAACATGAAGAAAAACCAATGAATGATAAAAGACAAAATTCAAAAGAGTGGTCAGAGGTAGGGTGACAAGGAGGGACGTGGGTGAAGCACAAGGAGTCTCGACAGTGGGAATCCTACTGTTAAGTGAGGGGTGTTCCTGAGAGCCTATTGTTGTGTCTTTATGTTTTATTTATATTTGGTGGCACTGGGGTTTGAACTTAGCGCCTCATGCTTGCTAGGCAGGTGCTCTACCACTTGAGTCACTCCACCAGGCCTTTTTGTGATGGTTTTTTTTTTTTTTTGAGACAGGGTCTGGTGAACTATTTGCCAGGAGCTGGCTTTGAACCATGATCCTCCTGATCTCTGCCTCCTGAGTAGCTAGGATTACAGGCGTGAGCCACTGGCACCCAACTGTGCCTTTATTTTAATGTCTGTGAAATCAGCATGGTATTAAAATAGTTGTCAAGCAATGTGACCTTGTCACTGCCTTAGAAATGTCTCAGCCAACTTATCTCACTTACTGTTTCCTTTTTATATGTGCACCAGAGAAATTTATGACAAAATACCTAATTCTGAAAGATATTTTTCAAAAAAATATAAAATGAAAATTTTAAAGTGACATTTAAAAGCATATTCAAAATAAGGAAATATGGAAAACATTTAACTATATTGTTAAGAAATAAGGGGCTTGGCGGAGGGGTAGCCCAGAGATAGAGCACTTGCCTAGCACGAATGAGGCCCTCGGTTTGATCCCCAGCACTACAAAACAAAACAAAACAAAAAAAACCAAGCATGAATTAACTATGTAAATCATGTACATAGATATAAAGTAATTCCAAGAATTAAAAAATTATGCTGCATTAGAAATGACATCATAGGGCCAGGTATGGTAGAGGAGAGAGGAAAAGGGGAACTCTTCCAAGTCTTTGGCCCAGAGTCCCAAATTGACAGCTCTGCCAGAGGCCGAATTAACTTAGCTCCAAACACCCTGACAGCATGACTGGGAAGACCCTTGCTTTGTCTTGTGCCTCTCTCCTCATCTTGTTAAAGAAGTTCCTCCCCTTCCACATGCCTCTGAAGTGGAGGTGGGGACTTGCCCACCACCTGCCCACCACCGTGTATTTGGCCATGCATTTTCTCCTCATTTCCTCTTCTGTCTTGACACTTCATCAAAAAACACAGGCATCAGTGCCTACATACTTCAAAGCAACAGACTTCTTCCTCTAGAGAGAGCTATCAACTGGGGCATCAACTCAATACCCCTAACAGATAAAGGCCAGTATTTCTAACAGCAGTATTCATTGCTGGTAGTGATTCTGCTGCTTCAAGTGCAACAAGGCAACGAATGACCAAGCTGTGTCCCACACTTACAGTCTGACCACACACACACACACACACACACACACACACTCACACACCTAAGTACAAGGGATCTTTTTCCAACAGGAATAGAAGACCACTTGTAGAGGTGCCATGTTGGAATGGAGTTTTCAGAGCAGAGGAAACATATGCTAGAAAATCGTGCATCTGTGAGATACTTAAGGCAGGCCATGATGGCTGTCAAGCTGAGAATGGGAAGAGGTACTGGGGACAGCAGCAGGGGCAGGCCATGTCAGGCTCTGTGGTCCTTGTAGGGAATGCTAACTCTTATCCTTAATGTAACGGGGAACCACTGAGCATTTTAAGTTGGGGAGCGGCTTGGTCAGATCTGTACTTTGTAAAGGTCACAGTGGTTGTGAGGAGAAACACTTGGAAAGGGAGTTGTTAATATGTCACATCCTGTCTGCAGCAGAAACTATAAAAATGAGAGGATTTGAAGGGTTGCTCTGAAAGATGACTTCCCATTAGAACACCCATGGGTGTTGTACACAGTGATGCACCAATGGGGACACCTCTTCAATGAAGAACTCGTGCCATCAGCAGCCTCAGCTGCAGAGAACCTTCACCCAAGTGATGGTTTTCCCAGAGTCCACCCCAGGACTGAACAGTGTAGAGTACAAAGCCGTGGCCATCACAGAGCACTCCGACTTGAGGGGGCTCACTAGCCCCTGAGCTTCCTGTACAGCCTGTGCTGAAGCTGACTTCTCCCTTCCACATCCCTTCCATGGGTGCCGGTCCTAAGCAGACTTCCTTCCCACAGTTCTACCTCAAAATCTGCTTCTTGGAGAATTCAACCTATGACATTGTGTTAGTGTAATAATGCCGTCGTCACTTCCTGTGTCCATTAACCTGTGAAAAGAGTTGATAATAGCCAGAAAAAGTATAATGTAGCAGGCATTGTTTTGATTTTTTTAGAAGTGAAGTACATTTTTATCACCAAATGTTATCTACTTTTTTAAAAAATCTAATGCGTGTAAAAAATTGTCTTGATAATTCTCTGCTTGTTCAAAAATGGCTTGGTTAGACTTATGCTTGCAGAAAGATGGGGTAGACCAGGTGGGCATAAAGAACTCCATCTTTGCCCAGCAGTAATGAGAAGTCCCACCATCTGGGTGTGAACTGAGGCCAAGTGGGGAACGTGGAATTCTACGACAGTAACCAGGGAGTCCCTTCAATTCCATTAGAAGAGTGTCAGAAGAAGTCTGTTAAAAAGATGTTTAAATGAAACCCAGCATCTCTTAACACAGAATGTCCAGACCAACTGAAAATCATTTGCCAGGAGGGCACTGGTGGCTCATACCTGTAATCTTAGCTTCTTGGGAGGCAGAGTATCATTGTTGAAGGCCAGTCCAGGCAAATAATTCATGAGACCTCGCCTCCAAAATAACCAGAGCAAAATGGACTGGAGGTGTGGCTCAAGTGGTAGAGCACCTGCTTTGCAAGTGTGAAGCCCTGAGTTCAAACCCCAGTCCCTCCCCCTCCCCCAAAAAATCATTTGCCATACCAAGAAACAGAAAGATCTAAAACCAAATGAAAAAAATTAATCTGCTAATGAAAATGCCAAGGTGACAGAGACGTTTGCATTACCTGACAAAGGTTTTAAAGCATCTATGACAAAAGAATTAGGAATACTCTTGAAACAAATGAAAAAATAGAAATCCTCAGAAAAGAAAAAGAAAGATTCATCAAAGAAATGCAATATGAAAAGAATCAAATGGAAATTTTAGAACTCAAATTTTAGTAGCTGAAAGGTAAAAAGCACAGTGTTTCAGCTCAATAGCAGAATGAACAGAGAAAAGAATTAATGAATTAAAAGGGAAAATAATAGAAGCATCCCAATGCAAGCATCTAAGAAAAAATTGATTGGAAAAAAGTGAACAGAAGCTCATAACAAAAGATCTATGCCAGTGCAGGTGGCTCGCGTCTGTAATCCTAGCTTCTCAGGAGTCAGAGATCAGGAGAATCACAGTTCAAAACCAGCGCAGGCAAATAGTTCACGAGAACCTATCTCAAAAAACCTTCACAAGAAAGGGCTGGTGGAGTGGCTCAAGGTGTAGATCCTGAGTTCAAACCCCAGTGCCAAAAAAAAAAAAAAAAAACCCCAAAACAAAATCTAACATGGTGCCATTGAGTCCTGGAAGAAGAGGATAAAGGAAAAGGCTTCAGAAATACTAGAAGACATAATGATAGAAAGTTCTAAAATTTGACAAAAGACTGTCAGATCCAATAATCTAAGTGAACCAAACAGTATAAACTCAAAGAAACCTACACCCAGACAAATTATAATTTATCTCTGAAAACAAGAGAAAGACTTAACAACCACAGAAAAATGACAACAAAATAACAATATATGTATAGGGAACAACAATTCAAATAAAACCACTTTCTAATCAGAAACAATGAAAGACAGAAGCAAGTGGCAGGATATTTTTCAAATCCTGAAAGAAAAGAACTGAAAATCCAGAATCCTTTGCCCAG